CTGCGTGGGCAGTAGCACGAAGACAGCAAGTGGCGCAGCGCCGTGTCGTCGTCCGCGACGGCAGCCGCCTCTCGCAGCGCACGAGTAGCGAGCGCCGCGTCTGCAGGTGACGGCACCTTGTCGTCGCTGACGCAGCGCGCCACTGAGAGGGCGTAGGTGCCGTCGGCCGGAATGGTCTCGTCGGGATCAGACGGTGGCTGCCGTGCAAAGTTCTTGCCGCTCTCAAAGTCGCACTCGAACTGCAGATTGGCCGCGACTGCGTGCTCCGGGAGCACCTCCTGCCAAAAGAGCTGAGGACGGAAGGTGAGCTTCCGGCCAGAGAGCCCGCCGACGCTCCGGCCGAGCAGAACGGAGGAGGGCATATATGAGGCGAGGTGGGCGCCAACGTCAGACTGCCCGCGGCCCCAGTGCGCGGCCCGTCAGTCGAGGCTACCGACTGCACTCCAAGTGCTCCAAGTCAGTCCGAGCAAAAGAATTCTTAGGCCGCTCTCACAGCACAAAAATACGACGGCTAGCGCACCACACCCCTCTTCTTAAAATCCCTGTGTGTGGGCGGCGTGCCGTCCTCCCATCCCTCCCTTGGATTGTCTGTTTTCTTTCTTTCTTTCTAGCACAAAAATACAGCAAAGAACGATAGAGAGGCCGCGGATGCGGGCGCGACTCGCCGACCAGGGAGAGCCGGCTCGACCTCCCTGGGAGGGGTGGCGACACGATCCAATGCCGCCGTCGACGCTCTCGGAGGCTGCGGTACCAGTCGAAGGCGAAGCGGACTCGAGGCCACAGCCGAGGAAGAGGCATCAAAAACGACTACAGAGGCAGTCTGGTAACGCCCGGAAGGCGAGCAAGGGACCGGGACGAGCCGAGGGCTCGCCCTGACGGGCGAAGGAAGGGACTCTGGGACCGGAGTCGGGCGGGCGCACATACTCGATAGCGGTCCCGCCGTAGCTCGCGCATAGAAGCAGCAAGCTAGGCAGGGGCCGCATCGCGTTCGCTGTATACGTTTTACCCAAAACCGGAACCAAAACACGAATCTCCAATCCAAGAAGGGATGAAATCCCTTATGGATATAATCGCCAGATTATCTCAGGAACATAGTGTGAATGCCCGGGAACAGCCCCTCCTGGCCCGAGTGCGGGGCGCGAGAGGGACAAACAAATTCAGAGGGCATGAAAGTCGTCAAGCTGCTTGATCAGGCCAGTAAAGATGGCCCGCGAGGCAGCCTTCGTGAGCAGGTCGGCGAGCATCACGACGCCGGGGAGGTGTTCGACAGAGATAACGCCAAACCAAAACACGAATCTCCACTCCAAGAAGGGATGAAATCCCTTATGGATATAATCGCCAGATTATCTCAGGAACATAGTGTGAATGCCCGGGAACAGCACATGAGGCGTATCCGTGTAGGTGTACGTGCGTGGAGTACAGTGTTGTGTGTCCGTTAGCTCCGAGTAGAGGGGGCGTTCTGCAGTTAAGGGGAAACCCGGTACACGGAACTAACCGTACAACCCTCGGAGAGCACCCGTGTTTACTTTATTACGGCCCTTTCCCTGCGAACGCGCACCCCCCTAGGCGCTAGGGGTCAGGGCTCTCTAGCCCGTAGCCCGATCCCGATCATCCGGCCCGCTGGGTGCGCTTCTTAGCTCCCCGGCCCTGCTGCCTGGATGTGAGGCTGATGACTGCACTCCCGAAGTATACTCCAAAAGATGTCTTTCAAAGGGACGATCCATTTGAAGATGAGCATGCACATGACATGTTTTGTGCATGTCCGTCGGGGCCGCCCCCCGGCCCCCGCCGGCGCGGGATCGCGGCCCAACCACGTGGCGCAAGCAGGCAGACCGCACAATGGAGTCGTGGCTCGATGGGAGTTGTTTGTGTCTGCAGCACTCAAACGGCCGCTCATCATAAACCAAAGCAGAAACGCGGCGCAACGGGCCCGGAGCCGCGAGCGCGAGGGACTCTCTCCGGCTCAGCGGTACTCCGAGAAGTTGGCGTGGCCGGTCGCCTGGGCATGCTCCACCGCCTCCGCCTGCCCCTTTAGCCCGCGCTGGCAGACGAGGCAGCGCAGCGTGAAGGAGGCGGTGTCGGTGAATGTGCGGTTGCGGCGCGCCTCCGCCGCGACCAGCTTGACCTGCTCGAGCGCGCGCGCGTCGTCCGGCCGGAAGAGGGTCACGTCGAGCTCCTCCGGCGCGCCGTCGAAGAGCGTCCGCACGAGGAGGTCGTAGTGGATGCCGTCGTACCTGCTCGCAGCCCCGGCCAGTGAGAGCAACCTCGCGCCGGCGGGCGGCGGCCCGCGAGCCCGCGTCCGCACAGCAGCATTGCGCGCTGCGCGTGGCCCGCCCCTTGTCCAAAGCAGTCGACGCGCCCGCTCATCACGTCGATCGCGCACAGCTCGGTCGCATAGTGCCGGCTGAGGATGTCGAGCTCCGTCGCGCCGCCCCAGTGCTCCGCGTCCAGGATCCACGCCGCGTACTCGTCGGGCGGCCGGCCAAGCATCACCTCGCTGTAGCGGTCGTCCCCCGCCGCGCTCCCGTCCCGCACCGCCGCCGCGACCAGCTCTCGCAGCTGCGGCGCCTTGGCCTGCGCCGACGCGGCGCCGCCCTCGAGCGCGTAGGCGAGGGCGGCAAAGAGGCACGAGTTGTTTGCCGGGATCACGCGGCGGACCACCGCGTCCTCGCCGTCGGCGGGCGGGGCAGGGGCCGCCACGGCCGCCGCCGGAGCGGCGGGAGCGCCGACTTCGCCACGCGAGAGCGCGAGGGCGAGGGCGAGCTCCGGGTCGTCGTCGCTCGGCGGCGGCGCTGGTGCTGGTGCTACTGGCGCTGGCGCCGGCGTCGAAGCCAATGCAGGCGGCGCCGTGGCAGGCGGCGCCGTGGCAGGCGGCGCCGTGGCAGGCGGCGCCGTGGCAGGCGGTGCCGTGGCAGGCGGTGCCGTGGCAGGCGGTGCCGTGGCAGGCGGTGCCGTGGCAGGCGGTGCCGTTGTAGGTGGTGCCGTTGTAGCTGGCTTGACGGTTAGCGTGTCTCCGGTCTGCACCAGCGCGCTGAGCGGGCGCGTGTCGGCTTCGTCCAGCTTCAGCTCTGCCGGCGGGAAGCCGGCGAGAATCACAATATTGCCGTTCTCGCTTTGTGCGACCTGTGACGCCTCTGCGAGGAGGGCTGCGGCGGTGGCAGAGCTCTCAAACGCGACGTTCTTGAGACCGCCAGGTCCGCGCAGACGCAGCCTTATCATCCGGCAACCGCAGTGCTTTGACTGAGGTCGTCACTCCTGACGATCAGGGTAGATGGTGTCCAACGGCGCCAGTGTGCGCGGCTCAAGCGGTGACAAAAGACTCACGGAAGCGGAGAGCCGACCCGCTGTGAACAATCACACGCCAGCACACAGCGCCAGGGGAGGTATTTTCTTCTCAATAACAAGGCTGTGAACCTCGACGGGCCCAGCTGCTCGGAATACCTCCCGTCGCCATGTGCGCTGGTCTGTGAGACTGTGAGAGGCACACCGAGCAGCGAGGAGTGGCTGCGGCAATAGCAGACAGGGCTAAGCCTATGAAAAACGCAGTCCTTGGGCAGCTCGCCCGTGAGCGCGAGGCACGCCGGCCAAAGCGAGAAAGAGAGGCAAGCTGCAGCACTCCGCCGGAAGTTGCAGCGTCGGGTGCCGTCCATCCTCCGCTCGCCACGCCGCCGCCGCCGCAGCTTGCGCTTCGCCGTGGCATTGACTGCATGGCGCGGCGCCTCAACATGGTCCATGGCGGCTGGTGCGAAGAGCAGCACCTCGACGACCTCGTTCGATTCTTCAGCCATTCGGTGGAATGGAAGAATTGCGAGCACGATTCTTCGCGCGGCCGGAAGATGGCCTGGACCGGCTTTGGTCAGCCCGACGGGGCTGCGCTGCTTGCAGTCGACCAGCTCGAGTGGAAGTATGCGCTACGCCACGGTGGCTTGAGAGGCACCATCACAGTTGTGTGCAAGATCTTTGAGCTTCTTCAGTCGCTCCACCCGGGCGACGCCATCCTTCCCATCCTCGTCAACTGCTGCCGGTACGAAGGCGAGCAGCGGTGCCTGCGCCACCCTCACAACTGCCGGCAGGTCACGCTGTCGCTCGGTGCGCCGCGCACCTTTTCCGTCTCCGGTGCGGGCCTGCCGCTCCACGAAGGCGGCAACCGCTACGACGTGCTGCTCCAGAACGGCGACGCGATGATCCTCGACGGGCAGCAGCACGAGGTTTATCCCGACCAGGAGGGCGGCGGAGTGCGCTTCTCGGTGAACTTGTTCTACGGCACCGCCGACGACCAGCGCACCAACCGGCGTGGCCGCTCTACGCTCTCCATCCAGCCGCGCGACGTCATCGAGAGAGGGTGGCACCCTTGGGCCTGTCCGCGCTGCGGCTGGCATCACGAGGGGTGTAATGGACAGCCGGCGTGGAAGTGCTGCCTGAACACGCAGCTGGACGACCCGTCTTGGAACCGCGGTGGGGGGATTGTGCGATAGAGAGAGTTTGTGGGCGGAGCGCGACCGGAGAGGGACGTCGTCGCACGCTGTGTCGAGACTAAACCAAGATAATCGAAGCCGGCGGCGGCGCATAGATAGCGGCTTGATAGCGGTTACCAGCGCGCCGCGGAACGAGAGCCCTAGCGAGAGCCCGTCATCAGAGAGACGAGCCGTGTGCGGTTCCCGGTTCGCCTCTCGAGGCCCCGTCTCGCCCAGGCCGCCTCAGCCGAGGGGCGAGAGCTCGGACGATCCGAGAGAGCAAGCGTCCGAGAGAGCGACCCACGTGCGAGAGACCGAAGGCGAAGCGCGCGCAATGCGCGAGATCGGATCTACGCGGGCGCGGTAGAGCGCGGCAACCGCTCTCTCTCTCCTTGCGCGGAGTCCGACGATAGGCAATAGCTCGCGCCGACGCACACCGCGGTCGCACACATCCACTCTCTCTGTCTCATACTCAATCAATACGGTAAAAACCTGGCCGCGGCCCTCGCCCCGTCACGGTGCCAGGGCGTGGCGGACTCCGAGGTGTCACTCCTCGCTGGAAGCCCCCCGCAGCAGCTCGAACTGGAGCGTGACCCCGTCCACCGAGTAGCGCGTCACCAGCGTGAGCAGCTCGCCCTCCTGCACCACGAAGGGCACCGGCTTGGCGCCGTCCACCGAGGTGTCCTCGATGAGCTGCAGGCCCTGCCCCCACTGCATGTCGCGCGGGAAGTTGCCCAGCGTCGCGTCGGGGTGCGTCGCCATGCAGAGCGCGTCCGCCTCGCCCGCGTACACCTCCCACGACGCCATCACCGCGTGCACCGTCCCCGCGCGCGTCGCCCGCAGGGTCGTCCGGCTCTCGCCGCCCCACACACCAACCTCGTCTGCGGAGAAGTCGATCGCGAGCACGGGCGTGCGGGGCGCGAGCTCGGTGTAGGCGGCGGAGGAGAAGCGGAAGCCGTACTGCTTCGTGAAGACCATCGAGGTCGTGTCCTGCAGCGAGTTGAAGTAGTCGAGCGAGATGCCTTGCCCTCATCATGGACGTTGGCTAGTCGGCCCACCGCTCAGGGCTAGTGGGGAAGGGTTCTTTGTCCTTCTCACCTAATCTCTCCTGGTATCTTTCTAATTTTTGGTAAATCCTTCCCCGTTTCTTTTCTCTCCTCAGACT